ATTATTATGTTGCTATGAGACCAGCAGGGAGCGATGTTGCTCTACTTATGTGTCAGTTATACTGTATTTACCACAGGATATTATGTCTTTCCCCATCGCATTTTATTTTATTACAGCTGTACGAAAAACCCCAAATTTTCGCATTTTGTAACATGACTAATTATCAATACAAAATAATGCAATACAAATCAGTATTCCTTTACAAAATATTCAGTAACTTCCAGGAGCTTTTTATTATCACTTTGTCCTCTTATCATTTCAGAATGACCGCAGCTGTGAAATCAGACGATTTTAATCATTTTAATGGCTGAAAGCTCTTAAACCTCTTAAATTCATGAGCTGATAAAACTAGCTATTTAAATCTGCTGCTTCCATCATCTGGCTGCTATTTATTTATMAGATTCATTAATAATTCAGCTCATAAATGGCTTTATTTGTAATATCTTGCCTTAAAATGCCGTTTATTTTGTTTACTCAAAAATAAGAGTCAGTTTTAGCGTTGGGTCTTACTGAAGCAGGGCACGAATTGTCAGGTTTATGACAGAAACAATCTTTTCTGATGTTTTACCTCTCAGTGATGAAGTGACAGAGCTTCAAATCAATGACATCTGTGTGAGACAGAGAAATCAGATTGTGTGAAGTGGTTTATTTTATAGTCTGTCTGTGTGATAAATGACCATCAGCCMCTCAAAAACATCTCAAGATGTCATTTTATCGATTTCAAAATGTTTACATCAAACAGAAAAAAGTAATTTTTCATGTTAAATCCAATAGGCTGTGGCTGTTGTGTTTTTGTTCAGCTGTTCAAATAAAAAAAGGGCAAAAAAGGGATAAACATTTTTTATTTAAACACTTGTTAAAACACAAAACCAAACAATTTATTAGAACCCATCATTTGGATGTAAAAAAACAACATACAAACCCAGGCACATTACTGTGAGGTAATTTAGTTTAATCCTCATTAAAGTCACTGTTTTTAGTCAGAATTGTAAAATTAAACTTTCAGTATTGTCTATAAACTTACATTATACCATAAGTGTTAAATGTCATTTAGAAAATGAAGATTCTTAACATTTATTTGAGGGTATTTTCATCTTAACTGCAGGGAAAGTTTAGAAAATTTACAGATTCAAAGTGGAATTGTTCCCAGGAGTTTAAATGTATTTTTTTTTTCACCCGGTTACCGTTTAATCAACCC